TTTCGCCAATTACACTGTAAGAAAATCTACAAAATAAAAATAGTAATTTTTAGTAAACACTGCTGGGCGTTAATCCAAAGGACTTTTTTGAAGAGATGAATCCGCCACAGAGGAATATACATTTTTTTAATATTTCTACATTTTAACAAAAATATATACATTTTTTTAATTTTTACTCTTTAATGTTTGCCTATTTATTAATGTAATACAGAGAGAGAGAGAGAGAGAATATAAAAAAATACTTTATATATTTATTATACACATATTTTCTTTGTTTGATTTGTTTTCTCTTATTTTTAATTTTATTAATAGTAGGTACATAGTTTTACTTAACATATCATTATAAAAATATTATACATATTATTAAAAACATATTATTCAGTACTTGAATACCGAGTATTGAAATTATCCTATTAAGCCCTTACACTAGAAGAAAGTAGAAACCCCTTATAGGATAAACCAAGCATGCAACGAAGATCGCCGCGCACAATAAGTAACGAAGTTCCACGTCAAGCCCAAGTCTTCCAACCTGTACACAAAACAACGATTATAAAGTAACGATACTAACTACCAAAGTAACGAGTAACTAAAGTAACGAGTCCAAAGTAACGAGTCCTATTACCAAAAGTAACTAGTAGTTACGAGTCCATAAGGGTAACTAAAGTTTACATCACTACCATGAGTATACTAAAAAAATTGGTCAAGTGTCAGACTCGCGCACGAAGGGTTCCGTACCATTCATTATCTATACAATATTTGACACTATATTATTATAAACTTTTTTTTCGATTTAGCTGAAATTTTGAATGCGCGTATAAGTAATTTAAAAAAAAATGAAGAAACACATTACTAAAAATTGTATTAATCAATAGTAAATATGTAAAAAGTAAAAATAAATATGTAAAAATTAAAAAAAAAACGATTAAAAAAAAGTAGCCTTGACTAGGATTCGAACCTGCCTTACTACGGCTCCAACGTCATAGCAGCGTTGCAATCCTAATGCTTTAACCACGCGGCCACCGAGGACTTGAAAGATTCTATGTAAAATTCTTAGCGGCAACATAGATACATTATCTGTAAAAATTTCAACTGTCTAGCTATAACAGTTCATAAGATAGACCTTTGTGACAGACGGACGGACAGCGAAGTCTTAGTAATAGGGTTCTCGTTTTTACCCTTTGGGTACGGAACCCTTAAAAAATTAGTATTTCGAGCACTACATCCTTTGCGGCCCGCGGCGGGTTGATTTCTTGAAAAATATCTGAGTTTTTCGTGACTAAAAGAAAAATCACAAAAACAACAGAGGTGTTTCTTATAAAAACCACCGCGTAGAACCCAAAAGGATACCACCAAAAAATATTTAGAATATCTTAATATAACTATTCACACAAGACTTTAGTTTTTAACACGTCTATTTATAAACCGTTGACTTTCTGTTAATGTAATATTAAAAGACTATTTGGCTGATACAAACTGTATATGCTCACAAATATAGTAAGTTATCAGGAAAATCTCTATCAATTATTTATCTGTTCAAAGTTCGATATTTGTGTTCGTCATTTAATTGAATACCGCTCATTTTCTAGAAAGATTTATGACATATAGAGCTAATCTAATAATATGACATAGAGGTAAGCTCTAATTTACCGTTGTTTCTACATCGTAAATCAGTAGTTAAAATCGTCGAAACCACTGCTCTGTAAATACACACTTCTAATGGATAAATCAAATTTAATGAGGGAATATATGGAACGGTCACACATCAGTGTCGCGCATGGTTATTTTACAAATTAAATTTGTTAGACAAAAGACTTAAGGTTTAGCAAATATATTTTAACATTAGAAAACTATAAGTTTATAACTTAAGGTGTGTTGGCATCTGTTCAATATAATTATTGTTCAATTTTAATTTAAAAATAAATGCATTTTTTTATAAATAAGTTGAAACGGCTTGTCCAAAATTGTTCAAATGTAGCATATGTTTTCAGCCCCACTCCCAGATCTTTAAAAAATTTAATTACGACTTTCCCGTAAAATCAATAGGGGAGCCTAAAATCAATAGGTCAATTGGACAGTTCAAAATTTGCATAGGATTTCCTCTTTCCAACGTCAATGCACCATCATGTATCCAACTAGCTGAACATTTGTAATAATAAAAAAACAATGGCTACTTGGCTAAAATGTTTTCAAGTTATTACATATTAACTTAATATAATATATGGCAAAAGAAGGATAACATCTATATATTATGTTTATCATTTTTTTTATGGCTGCCTTATCTTGCCTTGAATGAAAAGTTATTAAATGTTCATGCCTTGATAATTTCAGTACCTGTATTGGTCGTTAACTGACACAGTACGATTCAGTTTTTGCGAATTTACAATTACATTTTAACCGTAGAGCTAGCAAGGTTTTTTGCAAAGCTTTTTTTCTGGAACAGCCCTAATGCCTAGAGTGCGTAGAATTGCTCGGACAGACCAGTTTAGTGACTTTCAAATGGGTCGAATTGTTAAGGGAGATTTTCAAAAATCCGATCTTTAAGCGCCAAACTACGGTGTTGTCGGACGTGCATTTAAGAAGGGGAAGGGCATAAAGTGAGAGGGTCTGGACTCATGACACCGCAGAGAAACAACAGCGCTTCAATATCGGTGATTAAGAATTTTGGCTCACAGAGATCGAATAGCGAACATCCGAGCAACTGCAGATCAGTGGTTTGAAGAACAAGAAAAGTCAATTGGTATGCATACGGCTTATCGCCGAATCCAAAGCCTTTATTCTTATTATCGTCCGCATTGGATCTGCAACTTACTCCTGAACATCGGCGTAACCGCCTGCAGAGGTGTAGGGATATATTCAATGGGATCAGTAATGGAATCATGTGACCTTTAGTTACGAATCCCGCTTCTGATTAGAGATGGCCGGACGCAGGGTATGACGATGGAAAGACGCTATCCACAGTTTAACGTGGAGTGAGTTTGACAGTGAGGATGTTATGTCCATCACACTGTCGGTGTTATGGTTTGTTGTCCCGTTACGTATGGTAGCAGATCACCGCAGGTAGGTAAAGGCAACATGAGAAACCAACGCACCATGAAGTGGTGCAGCCATTTGATTTTATACATTCACACCATCCAAAACCCCATCTTCTAGCAAGTCAATGCCAGACCACATGTTGCTCAAGCATCAATAGCCTTTATGAATCATCACCCCATTAACCGTTTATTATGGGCGCCAAAATCACCCGATCTGTCTCTCATTGAACATATCTGGAACATAATGAGTCGATGGTTGTCGAATTTAGAACGCCCTTAACAGATTCTAGCAGCCCTTATGCATGATGTAACAATAATTAATAAAGCGCAATTTAATTTTATTTAGGAATCAACTAAACCATATTAAATAGAAAAGTTATAAATGCAATTAATTTTCAAGAAGTAAATTTATAGTATAGATTGCCATTGCATATGGTAGCAAATCACCACTGGTTTTCATTAGAAGCAAAATGACAGCCCAACGCTACATGCATTAAGTGGTGCAGCCATTTCAGCCTAAGATCACCTGATCTGTCTCCCATTGAACATGTCTGGGACTTAATAGGTCGAAGGCTGTCAAATATAGAACACCTTCGGCATACTTTAGCAGCTCTTATGCATAAATTTGAAGCAGCCTAAAATGGTATACTCCAAAAGAGCATTGACCATCCTATCAGAACTGCGAATAGGCGTCTCAATGAGTGTGTCAAAAATCGCAAGTCAGCAAGACACATTGACACAGGTTTTCCATTAAGTTGTCTGTTGGAGCTGAAAACCTAAACGATTCCTATGTCAAAGGCTGCCATCATATAAACCAAGAATTGTTAAAATCGTATGAATATAATATACAGTATGTCATCGGATTGTCTTTACAAGAGAAAAACCTTCTTTATTATTGACATTTTGAGAAAAATTCATTCTTCATAAAAAATTTGCTTGTTTTAAAATAGTTAATTCCGTTCATACATTTCCATACCGTTTTAGAGAAAATTAAAATAAAAACATAAAAATATAGTTGAATTTTTTGTTTCTAAGTCCTAAAGATCAAAACGCTGGTAATCATCATTTCACATATCATTTAGATTTCATTCTTTGATAAGCGATTGTTATTAATTTTGATTAATGTCATATTTTTTGCTCTTGTTAAAGTATCACATTTTCCTATAACTATTATCACTTTTTCTCTAGCATTGAACTAAATAAATTTTGTGCTCCTTTAACATATTTAACAAACAGCAAAAAATATGACGTTAAATAAAATTTTACCAATATAACAATATATCAAAGAATGAAAACAAAATTGTATTACCATAGAAACGAGTTTTGATTTTTAGGATTTAAAAAAATTCAACTATATTTTCGTGTTTTTTTAATTTTCTCTAAAACGCTATGGAAATTTGGAAAAGTATAAAACAGAACACGCAAAACTTATTATGGAGAATGCATTTTACTCAAAATGTCAACAATAGAAAAGTTTTTCCTCTTGTAAAGACAATCCGGGACATACTGTAGGTCTTCTCCTTTTTTTGTCACTCAGTAGAGTAACAAGTAATACATTCGTTTAGACCGTGAATAAAAACAATACGAGAGCATTGTCACACAATATATTAATGTTATAACCATAATATTACTTATAAAACTTCTAAAGATTTCATTACTATTTTCTATTGAAGAGAAAATGTTGACCATAATAATACTAATTTATAGCAATAAAAACTACACTAATGTGAAATAAAATATTCACCCCTTAAGAATTATGGTGACGCTACTGACACCTATCACTGTTTAATTATTCATAACTTCGTGATGCCACAGAATATACCCCTCGTAGCTTTCTTTCATTTTTTTATAGGGATAATTTACTTATAAGCTTTAAACTTGCTTTTGACATTCGAGCTATATGGTCTAACCCCTTGACATTACAGCCTAGATAGCATGGCCTACTTTCAGAATATATTTGGGCTTTTGAATGGTTTTATTCTAGTTTGCTACTGTCGAGATTTTAAAATTGGTAAGTTAATATAACAAGTTATATGTTTTTACTATACAGGGTGACAATTTGAAAACGAACAGTATTTAATATTACCTCTACCGATGATAGTATGAAAATTTGGCGAAATACGTCAATTTACATATCAAGGGGGACAATTTTTGAGGCATTTGTTGTCGTGTTACTTTCAACCCTTTGACCCCCAGGGCACTTACCCCTAAAATTTTAAATAGCAACCCCTTTCTTTTACCCATTTTGTGTTCCTTATAAAATTCTCAAAAAAATTATGCAGTTTATCTAGAATTCTATAAGAAACACAAAAATGGTAAAAGAAATAGGGGTTGCTATTTAAAATTTTAGGGGTAGGTGCCCTGGGGGTCAAGGGGTTGAAAGTAACACGACAACAAATGCCAAATCGCCAAATTTTCATACTATCATCGGTAGAGGCAATATTAAATACTGTTCGTTTTCAAATTATCACCCAATATACACACATCCTATGGAACTTTTCTCTATTAAATGATTTTGATAAAATTTAAAATCGGCGTCTATTAGATCATGTACCTTTGGGGTACCTGTCAAATTTGACATGTAAAAAAAGACATAAAAATGCTTTTTTGATGATTTTTTGTAAACTTTATTAAAAAATATTTTATGAATTTGCATAAACTTTTAGAAACACGTAAATATTTTTTTAATTGCATTATTGGACATTTAAAGTTTTAATAATGGTATAGATAAAATAGAAACCAGGTGTAACTGAAGGAAGCGAAATTCAACTGATGATTACAAATAGATTTATTGTAAAATCGGGTAGTGTGAAGGCAATATCCAATTTAATTGTTCCAACCGTTGGGTCAATTAGTGTAGGCTAGTTTATTTCCACTGTATATGACGTAACAACATTTAAAAAAGAACAATTTAATTTTATTTAGGAATCAACTTAAGCATCTTAAATAGAAAAATAATAAATGCAATTTATTTTCAAGTAACCTGTTAAAACACTATTTATGATAAATATTAAGTACTGAACATACTTTTATTCTATATTTAACGATTATTTTATAGACCCTGGAAATTTACAATCGTGTCTAATTAATATTACGTGATTTTTAATAGAGTGTATGAAACAGTTATTAAAATGCACAATAACAAAATCTAAATTGCCATCTTTATTTTTCAATTGTTTTTTTATTTTCTCTAATTAAATGTTTCAGAATACCTTAGAAACAATAAATAATATATTGTGCTTTTCATATACGGATATCTTACCATTAAAATGTTTACTTGGCTTGATTATAGACTTAGCTGGAAAGTATATAAACCATCTCAACGTCTAAATTATTTTGATGGAATATATTTCTACTAAAATAGATACAGATACTATTTTTTTTTTGGTTTGTTAACTATCCAGCTAGTTTACCATTATAAACTACAAGAAAATTTGGCAAATTTATAAACTAATCCGAGTATCTGCTGGTATAAAGTACTATATCGTATGATAAAAAAAACGAGAACAAAAACGGCTGGGGGATGACAAACGATGATTATTTTGCCTCGTAATTTACTATTGACATACAACTTATCAAAAGTGAACACTAACTAGAGAAAGTATTAAAAAGGACAGAACCGGTTTTAGACACACAAATCTAATTCCGAAAATAATTTTTACTAAATAAAAATAAAATTCAACCTTCTGAAGTTCAACTGGCAGTAAGCGCCATTAAAAAAAAAGAACAGTATAGGCAAAGTAAACGACATCTAGAACTGGACCTCGCCAAAATTATCATCGATTGTCATTCGCCAGCGGTCTTTGACGCCGTTTTTTTTTCAATCGTATGTATATATTATGGCTCAAATGAATACTTTTTTTTGTGGGGTGTTGGGGAAAAATCTTTCACAAGACATCCAGAAAAGGAAAGTATTTTACCAGATAGTGTCCTACCAACTAAAAAAACTTTCACCAGCAACGTGCCCCGATAATATTTGGGTGATATAGTAATCGACCTCATCATAAGATCGCGTTATCCATTTTAGCAGTTTCGGAATGAGTGTAAATGTCCACCTTCCATGCCTTCCGCCTGTCCATTTTTCCTGCAATATTTCCATAAGTTGTGCTCTGGTTTCGTTTTTTGTCGATCCGTTGTAGACTTCATACCTCTTTTGCATCAGGAGAACAATCGGAGGAATTCCGGCAATAACACCAGCACCCTCCCCTGATATAGTTCGGTAGGCGCTGCAAACTCTAATGCACAAAGCCCTCTGTATTCTCCTTAGTTTCGCCAATCTATTCTGACTTGTAATAGCTGTATGCCATGCCGGCGCTGCATACAATGTTTGGCAGTGTACAACGCTTGCTAAAACGCGTCTTTTAGAAGTTTTCTTCATCTTCATGTCCCATCTCCATTTCGGAGGAGGGCTATCATCATAACTATTCCAACTTTGGAAGCTGCGACCCTAAATAAGTCAGATTATTTTTACGTTAAGCTATTTTTGCTAAGCTAAGATATTATTCTCCTTCCAAAAGATCTTTTTTCTACAATTTTTCCCTGAATTCTGAGCTGTATGATCTCATATTTTGGACCTCTCATGATGTGGCCAACATATTGAAATTTTCTCATCTTCATGAAGTGAAAAGAAGAAAATCTCTGCGTCCTTCCATTCTTCCCAGATATGTCCATGATATTCTAAGAGAATATTTAAATTTCACTAGGCTTCTAGTCTTCGCTCGCAGTATGCGTTGAGGGTCCAAGCTTCAGGAGCTCATAGATTCCAAGCTTCAACAGACCATACAATAGCACTTGAGCATCCGTGTTCTCAGCTCCAAGCTCAGGTCGCGGCTTGATCTTCATAACGATGCACGGGCGTTCTCGATTCGAAACCTTATTTCTAAATAATAATCTACGGAGCAGTCAACACTTGTACCCAGGTAGCCATATTTCTCTACTCTTTCCAGCCTTTCGCCTTCCACATACAGTTGTTACATATTACTGGGCGCTTTATTAAAAGCTCTGAAACCTCTTATCTTCGGTATTAAATTTGACAATGCAGCTACAGCTTTCTCCGTTACTTTTGGGGGACACGTAAGTAAGTTATGTGTTCCCCAAAATACACTTTTGTGTCTAGCCACACCCCCATATATTTTATTGGTTTAGAGGGTGAAACATCTATTCCTGAGTCGTTGAAGGTAATTGGAGCAATTTTTCTTGTTGTTGTGAGTAGAACAGCTTCTGTCGTATGTGATGCTAAATGAAGATCGTGTTCTTTCATCCATCGTACTACACTCGCTATACCAGCATTTCCTAAATTTATTAAGAACTTTTGATTTTCACCTACAATAAACCATATCAATATTATCTTCAAAACCAGTCAACCTCTAACAAACCGTCATATAACATTCCATAAGGCACACACCACCATAAATGTCGACTTGTTTGCTTTTTCCATCAGCTTACAAGTATTATCTTGAATAACTTTTGTAATGGCGTCCGTGGTTTGCTTTCCTTTTTGAAAGCCGTATTGTGGTTGAGAGACTACCTATCTTTTACAACTCGTTATTTAATCTCCCAAGTATGAAATGCTCATATAATTTACCTTTTCCTAAAATGGATACTGAACTAGTTTCAAAACAAATCAGCTATTTTCTAAACTAACTAAAAGCGCTATTGTTTTGAAAGAATCGGTTCAGCAGCTAATTTACAAGTTAACTGGTTAGTATGCAAATTAGTTACAGAATCTGGTTAAAATTAATATTTTATGTCAGTTTACTGAAATAGCTGCTAGTTTTTAGATGCTTACCAGGTACTTTACAAAATATACTTTGGTTCTTATTAATGTAGAGTTTTTAGGTTGGTAGGTTTTATTATATATATGATTGTATATGGTAAATTTAATTTCCATTTATACATTTAATTTATAAAACTAAATTAACCCAAAACATAATCTTGTTGGATAAATCAACTTATTTAAACTCTTTCTAACAACAATTGTCACTTTCTGAATCGGATAATTATTTACTATACGGTTTTTTTATTCGAATAAAAATATTAAGAATATTATTTAAGCAAAGTTAGTTATGAATTATTTTTCTGCTAAAATATAGCAGTTTACTCTTTAACCAGATATTTTCCAAAAAAGTTTTCAAAACTATACTACACAATATAAAAAGAAATAAAACAATCAAAGTATGCAATAATAATTTATTTCTAACAAAAATTCATTCATCCACCAATTCGAACTCGTCAGCTCTGTATTTTCTCCTTTTCAAATAAATATAAAACTTGTACGACATAATACCAGCTATAACAGACACTAAAACTATAACTAGACAAACTCCTATCACGAACAGAGCTATCCTACCGTTATTTTTACTACTGACAGCTACTAACAAACTTCTGTTCGCTGACTGACACGGAATTCCAGCAATATTTTGATTTATATTTTCCAAATTTATGTACTCGTTATGTGTGTAGCTTATATTCCTTTTCTTTAAAAACACTATCAATTTTTTCAAGTTATCACAAGTTAAAATGTTATATTTGATGTTAATGTTAGTCAGCCCTGGCAAATTTGACAAAATAACATCATACTCGATGAATTTAAGTTTGTTATTGGCTATGTCTAATGTTTTAAGGTTGCTCAATGGCTCTAAAGATAAATAAGATAATGATTCAATTAAATTAAAAGACACGTTTAAATATTCCAGGTTTTCTATGTCCACGAATGGGTTTCCACTTAAATGAGATAGTTGGTTGTTGGATAGATCCAAACTTTCCAGATTTTTGAGTCCCATGAACACGTTTTCTGTGATGTTAGTTATAGAGTTGTTACTTAAATCCAAAAATGTTAATGATGGGATATTTTTAAAAAGTCCTTTGGTTAGAGTTATTTTGTTTCCGGACAAATTCATTCTGGATAACTTAGGCAAATCCTGGAATTCGTCTGGTGTCAGTTCAGCCAAATCGTTCTGTTCTAAGCTGACATATTTCAAACTAGGTAAACTCTTAAAAGAAACACTGACTAAATTATTATGTTCTATATATAAATACTGAAGGTTGGAAACATTAAATACAGTAATCTCGTTCAAATAATTATGAGATAAATCTACAAACACTAAGCGAGGTTTATTATCGAATATTTTGCTATTCAAATGTTGAAGTTTGTTGTTATTTAACCTGAGCTTCCCTAAACTAACTAGTGTTTGAAACTGTACATTAGTTACCTTAACTAAACTATTATAACCTAAATTTAAAAACCTTAATTTATCGAGATTACTCAGAGATATACCTAAAGATTTTATTTGGTTTTTACTTAAATCTAAGTCCGTGACATCGTGAGATCCAGTAGTGATGTTATAGAAAGTTGAATCAAAGATGTCAGACTGTAAAGAAGGAACATCAGCCATATTTACATCAACCCTCTTCTTATAGGTATGACAGTCAAAATAAAAATGATCTAAATTAGTTAGTAAGTTACTTGATAAATTTAAAAGTTTAAGTTTTCTTAATCCACACAGAGGAATATTTTTAACATCTGTTAACAAGTTTTCTGATATTTCTAGCCTTTCTAGGTTATCTAACTGATCTAAACTTGATGAGGGTATAACAGTTAAACTGTTGTTAGTGAATTTGATATTTTTAAGACTTTTCAAGCCGTTTAGCGTAGAATTTTCTATGCTAAAGCTTGTGTTTATGATTTCTAAAGTTTCTAAAGAATCTAGATCGTAAAAAATTGACTGTTTTCGATCAAAACTAAAGTGAGAATTTAAAATGCTTAGTATCTTGATGTTACGCACGTTTCTGAACAGATCTGGGGTGACGTTTTCAAGTGATGAATCGATGATAGTCAATGAAATTTCGTTGTTGATCGTGATGTTCTCCAAAACGTGTTGGGTGTTTTTGCTGATGTCGCTGCAGGTGACATTGAAGAAGTTCTCTCCATATTCTTCGTAGTAGGTGAAGTATTTGTCACAATATAGTGATATGGTGGGGATGGACAGGTACAGAATCACCCAAATGTGAAGAATACAAATTTCTTGATCTAGTAAATAAAGGAGAATTTAAGAAGTTAATTCATTTTAGGAAAATATTTTATAAATAGTATTAAAATTTTATTAAAACTGCATACAGTGTGTGTGCTACAACCTATATATATATATATATATGTAAAAGAACAGGTGCTCCAATATAATAGATTGTGATGAATGTTTCTCTAATGGTAACGTGTCCTTGACTCTAATAATTATGGTAGCTTAATATTTATTTAAATACTAATGAGCGGGGCACTTGGACATTGAGAGCAACGAATCTTCGTGGCGTTCTTGTAAATTATTTAATTAAATTATAGTAAATTATTCAACCAAATTTCCAAATTACCATTAAATCAATTATGCGTAATAAGCCTTTCGTGGATCCTGTATATAAAGTTATTAATCAACTTCTACTAGGACTTACCAACAATGTCTTAATCTGGCCAGCAGGAACTTGTGGACTTGATTAAGACATTGTTGGTAAGTCCTAGTAGAAATTGATTACTACCTTTATATACAGAGGAATCTACGATGAGAGGCTTATTACACATAATTGATTTAATTTTTATCTTGGTAATTTAACTGAATAATTTACAAGAACGCCACGAAGATTCGTTGCTCTCAATATCCAAGTGCCACGTTCATTAATATTTATATAAATATTAAGCTACCATAATTAGAGTCAAGGACACGCTAGAGAAAAAAGCGTTAGAGAAAAAATAGTCCATCACATAAATTTGGTGGCAGCGGTGGGATATTAAAAATAACTGGTCTCGCGTTACATAGATGTTACAATCTATAAGGGTCTATTTATTTAGTCTGACTAGAGCTTAGTTTTTACGACTTTCCTATTTTACTTACAATTATTATTTTAAAGAGTTCTTAGTTCCCAGCCATTCTACAAGGCAATTCATTAATTTTATGATCATAAGATTTAAGTCGAACAGAAAAATATTTAGTTTTTCCCAGAGAAAAAGAAGGGTCCCTTATTCTAAACAATTTTTTTACGTTATAAATCCAGTAAATCAACTTTTCCAGTATCAGTGAGGTGTTTATCTTATTTTTTTAAATAATTCGATATTTTTAATTCGCTTGCCTATCATTTGGATACTATTGTATTCACTGGTGAAAAAATTGCCAGTACTGACATAAAATTTTAATTTGGTGCTAAATGCTTTGGGATAACCATGCAACGCAATTCATCAATTCTGTTCCAATTTTATTTACGTCAAAAGTAGAGTCACTTAAAAGCCACTTATTTTAAAAAAGCTGATGCAGTGAACGCGATAAGTACTGAAAATCTGATTCCCAAAAAAAAAAATAAATAATAATATATAAATTGGGGATAAACTTATAGAGAAATATAATGACGCTTTGTTTTTACCCAACATCAAGCATAGTATAAACAAACCGTTTACTTATTTACAGTTTGATTGACAACAGAATTAATCTAACCCTCTTTTCAAGATTTGACACCGCTGGCGTAATTTCAAGATCTTAATAGAAAGAAAAAAAAAATAGAAAAATATACACAACCAAACTAATCCATCACTATTTATTTCTGAAGAAACTTTTTGCAAGGAAAAAAATTGGTATACAACTTTAAGATAAAACTTTTCGTTGTAAATAAACATGATAATAAAGAATAAACGACTGCTGCGATTTATTTTCTTGTATTGTCCGGTAATTTTCATTCGATCATCGGTACTATGCGTTACCCAGGGTATTGTATCGAAAACATTTGTGAGATACTTGGAACTAGGAACTCAGAAAGAACAGGCCCAGACAAAGTCGTCAAAGAGTCACAACTAAACGACAAGATCGGTTTGTGTGCCAAATTGTTAGAGCAAAATAAAATTGACCGGCTAAATTGGTGCCTCCAACATCAAAACAGGACAATTGAGAATTGGCAAAATGTACATGTTTTCGGATGAGACCAAAATTGGACTAAGATAAGATGACCATCGAATTCGGGTTCTCAGAGCTCCAGAAAGACGAGCGAAACTCCAGGCTGCCAAATCTGGCTAAAATATAAAGGAGGAACTGTATTGTTCTGGGGAGGTATTATGCTGGGAGCAAAAACTCCATTGTTACCACTTTAACGTGTCAGAGGTATGTTAATTTAGTGTTAGAATCAATCGTTAAGCTTTGGAGAGCTGTATTTGGGGATAATTTTAACTTAATGCACGATAATGCACCTCCCCATACCAGCAGAGTGGCTAAAGAATGTCTTGAAGTGAAGGGTGTTATAGTTTTGGACCGGAACATTTAACATTTAATAAGAAGCATGCCAGTGCGGATAGAAGCTTGCAAAGGCTAGAGGTGGCAACACGGATTATTAAAATTATTAATTTTCTTTTTGTTACTGCTTTTTGACCATTAAAAATTTAAATCTCATTTCGTTTCAGAAACTAAAAAAATACCATCATTGTGTTTTTGGGAACTGGTTATTTTTTTAATTGCTATACCGGATGTGTCTTAAAAGTGGCTCACCCCTATACCTTTTTTTGTATAAAAAAACGAGACTTGGTATGTTAGTATATGACATAAATTAGGATTGATTGTAGGGTTCCCAACCGTCCCGGTTTAACCGGGATTAACCAGGAATCAGAAGTTTGTTCCGGCGAAAATTTTGCCTTGGCCGGAACCAAAAAAATCACATTTACATATAATATATTTGAATTTCTAATATTTAATGTTTTGTTTCAATTATTTAAAAACTTAAAAATAATTGTCCCGGAATCGCCGATGCTCAAGTTGGGAACCCTAATTGATTGACGTAATTAATTGTTTTTCGTCGCTGCCTGCTTCACCGGAAATGATTACAACTTTTGATTTTTAAATGGCACCCTCGGTATTTTTTACTTCATTTGATAAAAAATGACACTCTGAATTGAATGACATATTATATGTCAACTTTTAACATTTTCGCTTAAAAAAATATTGTATTTTAAATTTCAATCTAGAGTCTTGGAAAAACAGATTTGATCGTCTAATGTTTCTACTGTCGGAACCTAGCCGGTTAAAAGACGCCCGCACATCGTATTTTTAATCATATCTCAAATTTTTGAATGCACACACACTTGTTAAATGTAACAAGGGTGGATCATTAGCATATTTGGAGAAAGCATTTTTTACGAATAATTTGGTACCACACACTTGGTATTTCGAGTCAAATTGTCGTTATGAATCGCATGTCACAATTTCAAATAAACAATATCCGAAAATGTCAAAAGTTGACATATGATATGTCATTGTATTCAGAATGTAATTTTCTATCAAATAAAGTGAAAAAATACCGAGGGTGTCATTTAAAAATCAAAAGTTGTAGTCATTTCCGGTGAAACAGAAAGTGACCAAAAACAATTGAATACGTCAATCAATCCTAATTTATATCATATACTAATATACCAAACCTCGTTTTTTTATCTGAAAAAATAAACAAGTTATAGGGGTGAGCCACTTTTGAGACGCACCCGGTATAGATTGTTTTTCATTAAAAGTCGTTGATAAGGACTGAGTTTTATTCAACAAACACTAAATGTTCATACGTCTTAAAAATTATGAAAAATAATAGAAGAGTGTGTGTGTCCTTATTAGTTTGGTTGTGTTTAGTGTTAAATAGGAATAAATATATCTATTTACACGAAAAGCTGATATGCAAAAAAATAAAAATAATTTAATTCATGTGTTAATGAAATATCTAACTAAGAACCAACCCCTAAAATGCTTAATATTATTCAGACATGCCCTGTATAGTTTAAAGGAAATTGTTTTAAACGCCAAATTGCAATATTATTTTTACAATTAATATAAATTAATGAACTACCTTTTGTAAACCTTATGTCTACGTCAAAATTATGACTTTCTCAAATTGAATGACAAAAAATGATAAAGTTCAATTAATTATATTCTAGAAAAAAAACTATTGGCTGTAATAATAAACCTGTTTTTTATATCCGTTTTACGTACTTTTACTATGTAGTGACACAGTGAAAATAAACAATAAACAACTCGTAAAAGTGAAATAAATAATTAATGAATTGAAACAAGTTAAGGTTGATTTTATTTTTATGAGTTTAATTAAAAAATATATTGTGGTCAGGTACAGACTACAGATTATAGATATCGTTTATAAATTTTAATGCCACTAAAATAGTTAATATATTTTCATGTTTTTAAGGAAAGTATTATTATAGTCATCCTTTTTAAAGGTTAAAAAACCAACTTAAAGTAGAAATGTCATCGATTCACTCTAAGTCGAAGAACTCTAAGAAGTCTAATCGAAGAACTCTAAGATATTAAAATAGTTTTATATTAACAGGGTTATTGTTTATTATAATTAAAGTTTATTATAGTCTCAGTTTTAATAGTTTTGTGATTTAGATAAAATAACAAAAACATAAACAAAATATAAATGAAATTGCCATATGAATTAAACAAAAATAAAAATCTATAAAATAATTATAATCCTATAACAAAAAATACTATAAGAACAATTTCTTAAAAGTTTTAAAGAAAAATTATAACTCCACTTTTTTTAATGAAACCCCATTTATATTTTAAGTTAGTTTAAAAATATTTTACTTTCGATTTAAAATAGAGGTAGTATTAGATTCCCAAGTAGCACAACAATATTGTTCCAAGATTGATCCAATGTAGAATATATATTGGGCCAAGCTAGTTTTTAATATCGGGCCAATAATAATTCGTCACTTTTTGATATATTGGCCCAACATTGTTTTTAAATATTGGTCCAACAAGTTACTAAAATATTGCCTCCATTAAAAATGTAATATTACGCCAACATTGGTAATCATAATACCACTAGTTTTTGTCCTTAATTTTATTTCAAATTTAGGGAAAACATAAAACAAAATACCCATGTGTGTATGGAAACTTTAATGTATTGAAGAAAACAATTTATCTTACAAAAATATTAACTAAGTAATAAAATAAGCTCTACATATTATCTTCATGGCTGGTATTATTTTTAGCTAAAAATACTTCAGTTAACACATAAAATTAAATTTATAAGGACACAAACCTCTAAATATTCTTCCCCATCCCGTCTCCGGCTGTCGCTAGTGAAATACCAATACATCGCGTAATGTCCAGATCAGTTGCGTCTGGAAAATGTACTTTCACTGCATCTATAAAATAATATAAAGTTTTTTGGGTTATCCTTTTTGTGTTTTGCCTTATTTTCTAATATGATGAGATGATATGCTCATAATATGGTTTATGCAAAGTGGCAGAAACTTAGAAGTAGGAGCGTTTTTATTCAGTGGTGCAACTAGTTGTTTATGGTTTACATTGTGTGTAAGAGCCCAACATTTTAAATTATCTGCAAGTGAATTCTGATTATGATTTTCTAACACATTTGATATGGAATCGTAATTTAACTCTACAGTCTGTGTATTGCTTGCCCCCAAGTCCCCGACTCTTCAAAAACAAAACTAAGACAGCTATCACTATTATTAACAATATTAGTAAGTTGTGTGTTAACTTCATTAATAGAACTTGTATTATCGCCTGATAGAAGTATAATGTTCTCCTGGCTTTCCAGGCGTTTCAGAGGACTGTCACCGTCAGACTCATCTTTATTTGCAAGAAAACTTTTAACAAACCTGTATTTTTTTGCCTTTCCCGACATTTACCTAAAAAAATGTCTGTTTATTTACCTAAGTAGCAATACCGAATCTAAAAATATTTATTAACAAAGCGCCCTAACAATCTAATAAATTATACTCTCGATTACACATTGCTTCAAAACTACTATTGTGTGTTACAGGAAAAAAAATATATTAGGTACTTACTTTTACTAAAGAAATATTCTTAAAGCTGGATTCAGTAAAATTTTCTGTGGTTGTAAGTTGTAAACCTAGGTACCCGTGAACCTACAAACAATACAGCTTATAGCTATAGCACATATTTCTTGTATTATACGTGTTAATTGTTAAGCATTGGAATAGGTTTATTCGACATACTTACTCAACTAACATCAACAGTACTTACTTTGATTTGATCACGATAAAAACACAATTTGCTTACAAAAGAAATATTTCACTGTCACAGCAACAGCTTTTTATGTCATGTCAACTCGTCAGTAGAGGTGGGTTGTGAAATCGCAGTCCGCTACTTTGTCACAGCTCCACCAACGTCGCAGTATGTGACTGCTCCAGTTCCAAGAAAATCGCAGTGACATTTCGGAGCAGTTTACAAGTTTAGGACATCTGCGCTCGTGAGTAGCAATAGGAGCAATAGCAGGCAATAGTGTAAATTCTGAAAATGCTCCTAGCCCCGTCGCCCGGTCAGACTGTTCCAGTCACAGTCGTCGCAGGTCGCAGTCGACTGGAGCATAGTATATTGAGTATATTCTGTGTACTGGAGCTGTTGGGAGTTTGGGAACGGGAAACGTAGCAGCGTTCGCTTTTTCTTTCATGAATCTAAATAAGATATTTATGTATTATATATTAATCACAAACAGATGTTTTTGACAAAGGTAATTTTTAACTTGTTAGTATGTTTATTTGTTAGTTAATTTTGTATCTGTGTTTTGTTGTATATCCTAAATCTTTTATTTGATCTTATACATTCATATAAGTTTTATTATTTATATCTATTTTTAAGGTCTGATGATGGCTAAATAGCCGAAACCGGTCACTAATAAAGATTTTTTTGACAGTTTCGACTTTGAATTGAATATAACATTAAGTTTTTACCATGGGCCACCACTCTGTGAAAATGAACAGACTCTTTAAGATATTTATAGCAAAGTGCTTGGTACTTAGAAACACTCAAATTCTTCTGAATAGACTAAAAAAATATAGCAACATCTATCAAACTAAGACATCAGTATAGTACCGTACAGCCGCGATTTTAAGAGCTCTAGGGGCCCGTAGTTCGGAAAAGTTCGAATCTTGTTCGCAAGGGCCCGGGAGGCTTGGGGCCCGTCGGTGACTTACCCCGATTGCACAGACGTTAAAATCGCCACTACTGATCGAAATAAAAAACGGCGTCCAGTTGGCTTGGAAATGACAATCGATAACATTCCCCATAAATTTTACATATAAAATGCCAGCAATCTTCATTTTATAGCTATCGCTGACGCCGTTGCCTATCATAATCACACCTATAGTCCTGTACTTTTTTAGTAAATGCAACGAACGGTGCCGAACACCGAGTGCGATTTTTCGGAGCAATTAACCTATAAAACTACATTTTTAATTTATAGGTTAATTGCTCCAAAAAATCGCTGCTACTTGTCACAGTGCTTTTATTGGAGCAGTCGCAGAGCGTAGCAGATCCACAAAAATCGCAGACTGGCCCACCTCTACTCGTCAGTAAAAGCGTCTAGGTCAGCGTTGCCAGGTGTCGGATATGAAATTATGGATCAATGTAGATCAAAGTATCGAATTTATTATAAAATTATGTTACAAGCGATATATTTGGCTGAGGGAATTCTCTAAAAAATATAATGATAGCAATAAATTTGGATTCTATTTTTTGTCGGTTTAACTTAATTTTAATAGGTTTCAACCAGCTATTAAACGTATTTTCTCAGTCAGTTTTATATTTTGGGGTCTGGTTTCTCTTCCCGCATTTTAAAATCGGAATTACTTGATTTGCCGCGGATATTTACTGCTTTATACCTTAACATTTTTTTAAACTTTAAAACCACTTGAGTTATTTTGCATTAACTACCTTAAAGTTAAATTATTTCTCATAAAAATATATTTCATGGTTGATAAAACATTAATTGTAACAGGTTACCAAATTATGTTTCAACTATCGATTATGGTACAGATTTTTTTGGGAAAATTTTGTTATAATAATTGGATAATTATGTACATCTGGCAACACTGATCTAGGTACCGGAACGCGGCCCGGCGCGCGGCGATTCCAAAGCATCACCCGGCGCCGGCGCATGCGTATTGGAACGGCAGAAGAAAGTAATGCTTCAATAGAGCCTGGTTTCTAAAGCAGCGTGTAGCTCCGTGGTTGAGGCTGCCGATTCGGGAGCGACAGAACCGGCAGAGGCAGAACTTTTTTTATTGTTTTTTCAGCTGTTTTTATTTCTTTATTTATTTAAAATAAATTAAAATACGCCAAATCGCCTTGGTTAGTCTTTGGTGTAAGTTTTTTTTTATTTATAGATTACACGCGAAATACCCGATCGATCCTTGGCGCTAGATGCTTTAGGAATCGAGCAAGAATTTTAAAAGCAAACTTTTATGAAAATCATGAGATAGTAGGGATGCAAGCCACATGTCAAAGTATCAACCCAGGTATCGATATCTACTATAGGTAGCGATTTTATTCTAAACAGAATGCATTTCAATATTGTTCCAATTTAGTTAATTATGTAAATGCCAATATCCAAAACATCAATATAAAAGGCATATTGGGCCAATGTCACAATAAAATATTGTTAATGCCAATCATGGGCCGACATTGATTATTTTCAATATTGGCGAAAACTAAGAAACTAATATGGGTACAATATTGTTTACCAAGATTAGATGTACTGAATAAAATACAATATTGACCCAACATTGGCACAACATTGATGTGCGAACGAAAATGAATCAATATTGAGCCAATATAGAAACAATGAGCAGCCAATATTTCGTGCTACTTGGGTTAGTATAGGTATAGACCGGCTGCGTCTCAAAAGTGGCTCACCCCTATAGCTTTTTAATTTTTTCAGATAAAAAAACGAGATTAGGTATGTTAGTATATGACATAAATTAAGATTGATTGACATATTCAATTGTTTTCTGTCACTTCCTATTTCATCGGACATGGCGACATCTTTTGATTTTTAAATGGTACCCTCGGTATTTTTTTACTGTGTGCGATAGAAAATTGATTATGACATTTTCACTTAAGAAAAATTGTATTTTATATTTCAATCTAGAGTGCCATGGCTGCGTTAAAAACACTCATTTATAATCAATGAGCTTTGGAAAAATAAATTTGATCATCTAATGTTTTTAGTGTCCAAGTCGGTTAAAAGGTGCCCAAATCGTATTTTTAATCATATCTCAATTTTTTCAAATGAAACGAGGGTGGCTCATTAGCATATTTGGAAAAAGCATTTTTTGCCAATAATTTGGCACCACACTCCTGATAATTGTCGTTATGAATCATATGTTACAATTTCAAATAAACCATATTCAAAATTGTCAAAAGTTAACATATGATATGTCATTCTTTTCAGAATATCATCTTCTATCGAATAAACTAGAAATATACCAAGGATGACATTTAAAAATCAAAAGTTTTAGTCATTTCCGGTGAAACAGAAAGTAACCAAAAACAATTGAATACGTCAATCAATCCTAATTTATGTCATACACTAACATACCAAATCTCGTTTTTTTTATCTGAAAAAAATAAGAAAGTTATAGGAGTGAGCCACCTTTGAGGCGCACCCCGTATACTTAGTAAAAGTAACAATGAAAACGAATTATTGATTTGACTTTTTGACCGTATAAAAAAATTCAACCTTTTTTTCTGAAATGGTTGGGAAATCTGAAAAAAGATATCATTTAGAACAGGCAAAAAAATTTATAGAGAGTGAAAAGTTAATAAAAAAAAGAATTTCCTTTTTAAATGCGATAGGGGTACATACTGTATATTATTGTTGTAAAGCAATCCCTGATATAATTTAAAATTTAATACTTTCTCCTATATAAAATAAAAGAAAAATTAAGTAATTAAAATTTAAAAAAACACCAATTATAATCTCTGTGTGTGTTATAAGTATAACATTTCGTAATCCTAATAATTATAAAAAACAACGAAACTACTAATTTTCTTCCTAGACAATTTTCCACCAATAAAAACTGTACTATTACGCATTTAAATGCACATTCACTATTTACCTTACAATAATGCCACTAAAAAATTAAACAAATTTCTTACCAAACAGGAAACGCATTCTAACAAAGATTTTCATCGTACTTGTATAAAATCTCTCAAGAAACTCATTTTTGTTAACTGTTTTCATCCATTTCCAAGTTGGCGGTTAAATCCTAAAAATATAACTTTATATAACTAAATCACTTTCCCCATAACAGAAAACTAACCGAATAAACTATTTTAAATAATTCACGACTGGGTTTACACAATAAGGAATGCACTTGCACGATATTTTATCAACACATAATTAACACTTCCATTGGACTAAAAAGATATTAGCGAAGATTAAAAAGCGCACCATTGCAACTGTTTGTTATTAATATGGAGTTGTATTTGAAATAAATGCGAAAATCTCCACCAACCGCTGTTTACTGGACAGTATATATCTGGGTTTAACAGAAAAGCGAATCGGTAGGGATGGGCTTATTTTAAAAAATATACATATCGATATGTAAAATTAGTTTGTGCAGTTATTAGCATATATTTTATTCTGACTTTTTGAAATACCATAGATAAAATATATGCTACCAACAAATGTCAAAGTTATTGATAATGATAGCAAATGTCAATGTAAAAGTTATTTATTATTTCTAAATAATGGTTATAATAATAATAAATTAGATATAGAGGGTGAGTCTTAAATAAGTGCAAATATTTTCAGGGCTGGTAGATCTCGATAAAAGAAACATATTTTCTCTTTATCGTTTTTCAAATAAGTCTAAAATAACCGAGTTATTCAAGTTTGATAATTTAAATAAAATAATAAAATATTTTTTTTTCAAATGTAACAAAAGTATTAATTTTTACCACGTAAAAGTAGAGCACTTTTACGCCTAAGCAATGACTAAATTATTATGTTCTATATACAAATACTGAAGGTTGGAAACATTAAATACAGTAATCTCGTTCAAATAATTATGAGATAAATCTACAAACACTAAGCGAGGTTTATTATCGAATATTTTGCTATTCAAATGTTGCAGTGTGTTATTATTTAACCTGAGCTTCCTTAAACTAACTCAAATCAAATTCAGGAAGCCGTTTCTCGATATATAATATAATTACATACAAAGTATTACTTTTAAATCTTTTTATATTATTTGCAACGCTTGAAATAATTGTTTAAAAAAATTATTTGTGACGTTTGAAAAAAATAGCATGTTCTATTCGGAGTAAAAATGACTTTTTGTGGCTCGTCTGTATCGTCTGTAATGCCAACCGTCAAACCTATAGCCTCGCCGCAAAAAGTATAATTTTTACTCCTAATAAAACAACATACTATATTTTTTTTTAAATTTTGAGAGCCGCTGGATTTGTTTCTGTATTTGCATCCTTTTTAGTGCCGTAACCATGGTAATATCAGCGATTAACAAATTATACCTTGGGAAAATTTGCGGTAAACAGGCAATTCTAAAATATACAGGAAATTTTAAAAGAAAATGCACATTTACAACATTTTTTGGGAAAAAAAACTCATACACGTGTTCCTGGGGTCAAAACATACCATCCCTGAAAATATTTGCACTTATTTAAAATTCACCCTGTGTAATAGAGATATATACCTGTGAATGTGATTACATATTTTAGCCTAACTTCTATACTTTTTATACTTCTCTACTTTTTTTTCATATACATTATTTTTACACATTTAAATCAAACATCAATTGTTATTCTTAGATTGCCAGTTTAATTTTTTCAATTTGCCCTAAAAAATTTACAGAATAATGTCGATATTAAGTAAAAGTATCGATATAATTGCTCATCTCTAGTGTTTAGACTGGGCAATGCACCAGACTCGCCGGACTTGATTCCTATTGATTTTATTATCTATCCGAACTGACTAATCTAGAGCATGTTCGTTCTCTCTTTATCTCAAGCTACTGAACTGCATTCGTTCTCATTTTACCATTAAACGCAAAAACAGTAGCTATATAAGTGTAGTTTGATACGATGTTTTATTCTCAAATAAACCAAACAACAACAAAACTTATAAAACTAATTAGTTTTTATTATAATTTATGATATTTAAAAACATATTATAACATTTTTGTTAATCAACAATACAGAGTGTTTAGTATAGAGGTAATTATTTTACTTTAATATCCTTGAATATAAATATATAAACAAGGATAATATCGAATGTCCCCGGTAGTGTAAAGTAAACGCAAAAATCATTAAAAATTCACTTTCGTTATTCATGGTTGTAAAAGAAATTCGCTACAAGAAAAAATCACTTTTTAATAGTAACTGTACTACTCGTAGTATGCTATAGTAGTTCGGTAAAATTAGCATATGGATACATTTTCTTTTATAATATCTAAATGTCAGCAAGGGCGTAGATAAGGGGGGGGGTACTGGAGGACAGTACCCCCCCCTGACGCTTGACGAGATACGAGAATTGAAATAGTCATTGACTATGAAAGGATTTTTTTAAATTAAAATCCGACATATAAGAACACTTTGTATGCTTTTAATTATGTTGATTTATCGTTTATAATATGTTCGACCTAATTAAAAGCACACAAAGTGTTCTTATTGGCCAGGACAGATTAGTGGGGTTAACTCTAATCAATATCCATAAAGATATTGAAATAAATGTTGATGCTGTTATTGATAGGTTTTCCAAACAGCGTACTAGAAAACTTGATTTTGTTTTATAGTTTTATTTATAGTTTATAGTTTTTATAGTTTTTTGATAGTTTAGAGTTTTTTTATAGTTTATAGAAAATTAACTAATAAACGTCGTTGTTTCATTTTTGTTTATGTTATTTACAAATCTATATTTTAATTTTTGTGTTATGTTTTTATATCTTTTTGAAGACAAAAAAATCGCCGTCGTTTTAATTCGACAAAAAAATTCCGACGGTGATTTTTTTTGCGACTTAATCATAGTACCACCCCCATAACATACACCTATCTACGCCCCTGAATGTCAGTTCGTAATTCGTAATATAGTTAGTGGTCGTAGTTAGTGATTGAAATGTGAATGTTTGCTTTTTAAGTATGCATCTAAAAGAAGAATACTATATAGCGTATTCTATTAAAAATAAAAGAAAAAATTAGATTATATTTTAACAATTTTGACACTAAATTGTGAGCACCCTGGAAAATGTTATTTTCGCGCGTCAATTTGTATTGTTAAAGCCTGGTTGACACGATCAAAGTGTACTTGTAACAAGTTAACCGGATGCTGCCATATAAATATATATGGCCGCATCATATATAAGTTGGCCGCTAACCTACTTACTTTGATGCTAAAAAGCCTCCCAAGTGAACTTGGATAAAACAGTCACTATTATAACAAGGTCTGGCAGTAGTGCGTCGGGCATCTGTAGCTCCTGTGTAGAATAAAAAGCTTGGGAATTTTGTTTAAATGCAAACCAAAAGTTTGTACTAGAATGTATTTTAGAAAAGTATTTCTAAACTTCTACAGGGTGGCTCAAAAAAGTGCGACTGGATGGAGCTGATTTTTTTTAAATAGTAAACAGTAGTAATACACCCCGTATATTATTGCATTTTTGCCTTCCTTTCAGATCACTTTACATAATCCTAAGATATGGGTAAATAAGTTTCGATATTAATGAATAAATAAAAAATATATACTTTTCAAACTTTTTTAAAAAAATTTAAAATATAAGAACAGTCCTGATATCAAAACTATATTCTATATTAGGTATTTATTTTAGATAGTCCGTTCTTACTTTCCTATAAATATCGTAATATTAAATCATACGAGGGTATAATTTAAGATTACGATATTTCTTACATCTTACATCATGAGATGTAAGAGAATATTTGATAAGTAACTATTAAATCAGTTAGCAATGTAGTTACATACCAAATAATGATCTAACAAATTAAAAGATATGCTTCAAGTGAGGGCTATAAGAGCAGGGCCATAACTTCCTTAGGAAGCTTCTTGAGCATATATTCATAAAATTATTTTCTTTTTTAAGTACTTGAAGTATATACTGTTTTTTTTTTGTTTATACCGTATTTACGTTTACTTACAAGATCCATTGGAACTTAAAATAAATACAGTTGAAACACAGAGAGAGGTTGTTAGCGGGAGAAATATTCCACCATGGGACGTACGAATATACAGACAATACGTAGAAACCAATGACCTCTAAATAATTGGTAGAAACGATCAATAAATTTAAATACACGGAATCTTGGTAAACATCGGACCTAGACCTCGACTTGGAAATTAGATCACGTACAAAGCAAGCTAGATCATTGTTTAATAAAATGAGAATTCTGGTATATATGTAACTGCTCACTTAACATCAACTTACCTCTACAGTTTGCCCACTGCTTTGTTTACTCAATTCTCTGCTACGGCTCGGCTGTGAAACCTGAATGCTTAAAATGAATACTTTGAGACGGATGGAAGCATTATGGACACATTATGTACGCAATGAAGAAATTCTTGAAAAGAATAACAAAAAAGGGAATTACTTACACATATAAAAAATAAAACTGCATACCTGATCCATGTCTTGCGGAAAGATAGATCAATGCTCCTGATATTAATTATCGAAGGGAAGGTAGAAAGGCAGAAGAGGTCTTGAAAGACGCAAACACTCATGATTGAACAACATAAGGGATTGGACTAAACGGGATTTAAACTCAAACGGACTGTCTCGAGCTGCACACGACCGAAAATCATGCGCCGATATTGTTGCCAACCTTCATTAATGATGGTACCATAAGAAGAAGAAGAAAAATACGTTTCTAGAATGTAGAATGAGTAATAGAGGGGGGGGGGTTAATGACCGCGACCTTAAAAGATAAATTGTATTTCCCTTTCTTGAGTTATAGCTCGTCATACCCAAGTCTTTAACTCATCATGCATGGAAATGAAAATCATCGTGTTGTAGGAGATACATATATCCCTCTTTCTCTATTGTCTCATTGGATTTGAGGTCTATTACACAGCAAGAGTTAATCGGTCCACTTATATAGAGCCCCGCATGTAGAAGTAAAAGAGACAGGAATACATTGTGTTGAACCCTGGTGCTCCAAGGTAGAGGCTAGTAGAAGCTAATAGAGGCTTTTTTGGGGATGGTAAAAAATCTTCTTAGACGCCTGGTCTGTTGTTCTAGCGACCGAGGTGTACCGGATTCCTACCGACTAAAAAAATTCCATCCTATTTGGTTGCAAACTGCGCTGGAACTACTCATACACATTACTTTGTCGCAGATGCCCCTCTTTACGTTGAACTTTGGTCTTTGGTCATTCTTCAGCCCTTCGTTGATCCAGCTCTTTCTGTCGTAGAATTTTTGGATGAAGCCGAAAAAAATTTAAAAATTGCAACTGGCTGTTGTCCATAAAACAGAGGCTGTACTGATAACGGATAAGCGATCTTTT